AGGTCTGCACGCATACAAGGTTTCTTTTTTTTCCTTTATTTCCCTTTATAGTAAAATTGAAAATTCAAACTTGATAAATTGAATTATAGCAGTATTACTTGCGTGAACTGTTTCCTAAATCTGCATTTCTGCCAATTTAACCTGTTGGTTTAAAGTCAAACTCAAAGAAAACTCTGGGCTTTGAGCTGTAAATGTATTTTGGCTTTGAACCTCCAGCCTTGACCTAGGGGTGCACCAAATCCAGAGCTGGAGTCAGCTACCTGCGATTCAGGGCACAAGTTTAGCCACGAAGGGGAAATCCCAGAGTCTTAGCTCGGGAGATTTAAGCACGATCAAGTCACTTACTCAAATTAGCTTAAAATCCCAAAGCACTCTCAGCCTAAGCGCTCTCAAACCCCAGCACTGCCAGTGGAAAACCCTCACGGGTGAGGTGGGAGCTTTCCCAGCACTACCAACACCCAGAGGGATGAACCTCTGCCCTGACCCACTTGTCCTGCTGATTACCCTCAGAGCAGCACATTGATGTCCCCTCGCTGATAGCTCAATAATTGCTAATTTTGTTTCTTTTTTTGCTCCTTGCAGACCTTCTGCTTTTCCTCAGCACCGTTTTAGTGTCCTCCTCACTGAACTGCCCACATTATCTCAGTCCCTCCCTCTGACTTACTTTTCCCTAACATCAACAAGCCCAACCCTTATCTTGTTCCACTTCTCCACCATCACTTCTCCATTACTTCAAATTCCCTGATATTTTTTATGGCGCACTGCATCTGATGCCCACTACACCCTTCTCTGTCCCAGACTGGGAAAAATTTGAGGTCAGATTGGATGGAACCCTGAGCAACCTGCCCTAGTTGAAGGTTTCCCTGGTCTGGACTGGATGACTTTTAGTGATCCCTTCCAACCCAAACCATTCTATCCATGATTCTCACCCCACAGCTGTGCTCCATCCAGCTCCCAGCACTTTTCCTTTCCTCAAACAGAAGCCAGCCACCTCCACTGCTCTCATCCAGACTTGCCTCCACCCACCCTTCCAAAGCCTGGGTGATGTGCTTGTCCTTCAGTCTTTGCCTGCTTTGCTCATCCCTTGCACGTGGCACTCGTGCCACACACAGATGTAGCCTGGCAGGGAATCATCCATATTTTATAAATTAATTTAGAAATGAACAGATGAAAATACTTCATATTTTCATATTAATTTATGTTAGCACTAAAAAGGCAATGCTAGAGCTATTTAGTCTACCACAAGGCCATATCAAGGCCTCAGTTTTGATCTGAGGGAACCTGACAGCTTGGGCAAAGTTCTTTGTTCAGACACCACATAACATACCTTTGCAGTGCTCAGTGTGCAGCTGTTACAACACTAATTGAAATATGTTTTTAAATGTATCAGGTTTCCGAACATTTGCAGAATTATTTTCTTCCCCTCATGTGCAAAACCCAGTATTGCAGCCGTTTAAAATGAGTGTTTAATCCCTACAATGTGTTAGTAGGTCATAAAACAAAACTGGGCTAAGGTATTTTACACTGGGGATGGGAGTAAGTCTGCAATTGTAGGTGGATGAGGAGGACCTACAACTTCAGGAAACCATAGGATCCCCAGCTGGTTTGGGTTGGAAGGAGCCTTAAAGCTCATCTCATTCCACCTCCTGCCATGGACAAGGACACTAGACCAGGTTGCTCCAAGCTCCATCCAACCTGGCCAGAGCCTCACCACCCTCACAGTGAAGACTTGCTTTGTAATATCTAATAATATCTCCATAATATCTAAAATCCTACTATCTAAACCCACTCCTCATTTTGAAGCCATCACCTTGTCCTAAAGCACTGTCATGCAGTGTCACAAAATTCACATCATTGGAGCAGAGATAAGTCAAAAGGAAGCAGATTTGACATCCCACTCCACAGGTTGTATCCAGTCCCATCCAAGATCCCCTGTGTCATCCATGGAGGATGGATCTAGGAGAGATGCACCCAAGGAAGCTCACAGGAGGGCTCACAAAACACTCGTGTTTCATCAGATGGATGAGTGATGTAGATGCCACATTTTGCAATGAAATTAAATTATAAATCTCTATCAAATATCTAGAGAAAATGTTTCGGCCTTTTTTGCTTCATTGCAAAACCCGGGTTCCTGTGGGGGCCCACACTCAATCTACAGAGGGGAAGTTGTAACTAATCTGTTTGCAAAGTCTCTAAAATTGCATTTCTGTTAAAACAAGACAACAACAGCAAAAAAATCTCTGATAGTAAGTATCTCAATCTTCCTGGGCTAAAAGTCTTTGACTGAAAAGCTGTGCATTTCCCATTTGCAGTGGTATAAAAGTCACAAGACATCAGATCACAAGCTGTCACTGGTCCCAGACTAAATATCACCCATCCTTTGCCTAAGGCAAGTGGGTCTCTTTTCCATGGGAGGGGGCCAAACAGAAATCCCACTCTTCAGAGGAAAGAAGGAAACATTTTTGTGACAGTGTGTTTTTTATTGTTTTTTTAAGGCAGTTCTTTTGAAGCTCCTCGGGGGTTTGGATGTTAGATGTAGTCCCAATGGAGATGGATTAGTGGCCAGAGCATAGCAAGGCGGTCAAAGGTGCAAGATAAATGCAATTTATATATAATTGCCCAAGCTGCACCTGTTTCTTTTTCAATAGGAGACCTTGTCTGCAGACACAAACATAGAATATATCCCTTTTTTTTCCTTTATTTGAGTGTAAAATGGGGAATTCTAAACTTGTATCAGAGTAAAGCAAGAAAAAATAACCTTTAAATAGCATGTAAATTTTTTATGAATCAAGCTCTAAATAAAGAAAACTCCCAAGCTGGGAATTCAAAATACTAGCCAGAGAGAGCTGATTTGCTACCAGGCTCAAGAACAATATTTAGTTTACAGAATCAATCTGGAAATAAAACTAGTGCTTGCATCAGCATGAAAGCTACAAAAATAAAAAAGAGGTCTTAATAAAATATACAGTGGAAAAGGAAAGGATGAAAGCCCTAGCACAGCTATGAGGCCCTCGACAGCCCACACAAGTAATAAAATAGAATATGATGTAATATAGAACAACAATGAAAGGATTTTAAATTTCTAGGTAGGATTCTGAAAAACTGTTTCCAGCTTTTGTTGCAGAGCAGGCACGCTGAGAGTTCCCCTGTGAAGCTACAACAAAGCTGGTGTGTGGCAGACACGGGCGTTGACGAGGGCAGAACAAACATTAACCTTCACCTTACTCCTCCATCACTGGACCAGGAGCCAGGATATTTCTGTATTTCTAGATGCTCCATTTTTCTGTTTGCTCTCCTGCTCACTCACCCACTCCTGGTTTCCCTCCTTATCAGAAGCACCAAGAATTTTTTGCGCGCCAAAGCGCCCATGCTTTGCCGTGAAGGCAGCCACCTTCTTCACCTTTCATAAGGAAAGTGTCTTGAACCTTGTGCTAAGCAGCTTGGAAAAATCTGAGATTAGACACATCCCATATTGGCTCAACTAATTTCAGCCTGTCCAAATTAGGATGAGTCTGTAAGATTCCACAGGAAAAGCATGTGAGCACTGGATGCCTGTGCTACCTGCCATGCTCTGCACCCTAATTACAGCGCTGCATCCCCTGGCTTTAGGCAAACAGGACCTTGTGAAACTCAAACTCTAAGAGGGACACATAACTTCTCTCAATATTCAACGGCATCTCAAAATTAAATTGTCAGAATTTGGTTCTGCAACAAACAGTGGCCTCTACACTAAATTTCAGATGAGCCAGAACCAATGTAATTCACTCATTGCAGTAACACAAGAAATTTTCCTTCTCCCCATGAAGCTGAAAGCTATTACAGAATACCACCAATACTGCACAAATTAAAAACTATGGATTGTGAAATTTGTGGCCCTTTTTCTACTGTGCTCCAGCTGTGGCAGGCATGGTGTACAGAGGTAATCAGAAAGTTCTTTGTCCTACAACTGGCTGCATGGTCCCACCAAAAGTTCTTGGGTTGACAAAAAGAACTGGCCAAATCCTATTCTTCTTGCCCTGGCACAGAAACTCAGCTCCACTGCAACACCTAAACATTCCTGTTTTCTCCTTTACAACACTTGATTAACAATAAACAATGATTCAGACAGCTTATGTAATTTTACCTGTCAATGTTTTGCTTCAAATGATTTCTCTGTGATAAATTTTTAGGGGTTTCTGTCTGACTCTTTTAACTCTTGTTCTATCACTAGCTGCAATAGATACACAGACCTTGAGAAGGGGTGACAAATAAAAATCTGATTGTCCCAAAGTTCTAATAAAACACATATATTCTTTTTACACGGAAAAAAGGAGATTGTTACAAACAATGTGCTTCTCCAGGAAAGACAGAAAACATTCCAATTCCTCCTAAAACAAGTTTTTAATGAAGCTACAACAGGTCATGATCAGCTGCTCAGAAAACAGCAACACCCTCAGAAAAAAAAGACTTTTTTTCTCTTTTTCAGGTTTCAAAAAGTTGGTTGAAAAACCTGGGCCTGTTCTTAGAATGACCCCAAAGGCAGAAGAGGGTGTTACTTTCAATTCAGTTCCTTCCACTGAACATGGACTGCAGTTTCACACCTGTGTTATTAGTGCAATTACAAACTCTGCCTGAAACTATCAAATTAATTTGAAATTCACTTAAGGGGCACCTGAGCCATCAGCCAGAGTGCCAGTGCAGTGTACCTCCTGAAGGCTGTGCATGAGGTATTGGGGCTGGTCCAGCCAAGCCCTTCAGAGCTCCCACCCACTCAAACACTGCCATGATGCACTGAGGCTCCATAAAACCAAACACTTCCCTGATAATAGTACTTCCCTCTTTATCCAGTGAGCTCCATCACAGGATATCATGAATTAATATTTGCAACGCCCCAGGGAGGCAGGCTGGTATCATTTCCCCATGTTTCAAAGATGGGCGAAGGTGAGAGAAAGATGAAGCAATTTGCTGCAATTCACTGAGGAAGTCTGTGGTGAGGCAGGGGAGAGTGCAATGCTCTCAGTGCCTGTGCCTCTGCCACAAGACCATCCTTCCTGTCCCTAAATGCCAGGCTCCAGCCTGATGATGTGCTGTAGTTCTAGCATATTAAATCTGACACCCTATGCATGTTCTGGATCATAAGGCTGAGTCCCATAAAATTGACAGACGTGAAGTTGAGAAGAAAAAAGGGACAAAGGAAAGAGGCAGGAGAGGAGTCCCCACATTGCAGCTGTGTGGCATTTTTCTAGGCAGTAGGTTCCCATGCTACTTCAAGACCATAACATATTTTTGCTATTACAAATGCAGTTTATTTTGCAAATCAAGGTGATTGCACACATTTCAGCTTGTCAAATTTTCAGCCTTTCAACCATATGTCTGTCGACCTTATGGACTACCAACTTTATGGGATTCAACCATATGTCCAGATCCCGATATATATGAAGGCCAGTTCTAACATAAGAGCTTTACAGTAGTAGTGTAGTAAACCATAATGTTTGCAGATGGCTGTAATAAAATCATTCAGGAGAGGAAAGGTGCAGGGACGTAAAGCCTTCAAAGCTTCTTCTACTGAATAAACAATTTGATCTGAATTATGTAGTGGCAAGCACATTCTGCCAATGAACTGGCTGATCTAGTCTAAAATGTTGCTTTTAATTTTCTTTCCTAATCCCACGTGTATTTTAACTTCCTTTTGTATTTTCCGTTGTGGGATTAGCTTAAAATTTGGAAGAAAAGTATAAGAAGGAAAAATAACAAAGTAAAGGATTTGGTTTTAAAGGCACCGTCCACTTCTGAATTGTAAATTTTTCATCTGTGTAAAGCCAAAGGGTTATGTGGGGCCTGGAAGATGTAGTAATAGAGAGGTATAAGGTTTTTACCCTCACATGGTGAGATTGAAGGATGATGTGACTTGCTTCATTTCCTGAAGCGGGACTCAGCTTTCAAAGTTAAGGCAAGTTTCCTCCTGAGTAAACTTTTTCTAACTCTAGGAAGTTGGAGTTTGGTTTATGTCCTGCTGCACAATAATTCAGATGATAATTCACATTCCCTTTGTCCAACATAACTTGATATCTCTATTATTTGGGAAGCTCCGGTCCCATTTTCCCCTAACTGAAACATGCTGAGCCAATGTGTGGCCCTCAGAGAGCTCTGTCCTGGCTGACAGTGGGAAGGGAGCACTGTTTGTAAGGGGAACCAAAACCAGCATAGGTGTGATAGAAGGTCTTTTTCAAACCAAAGTATTTTTTAAGCTGACAGTGCGTGGTGAGCTTTGGCAAGCTTCCTTGAACTAGACAAAAATCACTTCCTACTCAGGAAAGAAGGGAACCTTCCCTGGGAATTAACTGGGAAGTGAAAAAGTGAACTGCAACCTGCTTATGCTGCTGGTGTGCAAAATCACTGCGAGAGGAAACCCCCTGAGCTGTTGACTTTCAGATAAGTTGGCCAGAGCCAGCTCTCATGTTGCTAACGTCAGTGGCCCTTTTCCTATTGGATTAAATGGAGCAGGGTCAGATAGTGTCTAAGAAACAAGAAATACACTGTCACTCTTTCTTCCCATGCCAGACTTTGTGTTGACTAAGTTGCAATTGTTTCTGAGTGCTGGGATCATTTTGATAGAGGGCTTGGCCTGGGAGACGATGATTGCCACAGCACCTACCAACACTTACCCTATCACACCTAACTGTCCTTAACCACGCAATAACTATCAAGAAAAATTTAAAAAATAAGCCAGAACAGAGAAAAAGAATTTTTTTAAAGCCTCAGCACCTGCACAAATGTACTCATGAAAGACAGTGAAGAACAAAGCACGACCCTCAACCCTGCCCTTGGTGTGCCCTACCTGTGTGCTCGTATTTGTGTCGCAGCAGGGAACTGCTCTTCTGGAATGTCTTGTCACATAAGTCACACGCGTACATGCCACTTTCTGTCTTCTTGATCTTCTTTCGGGACAGACAGGAGTCGGAGTCCGTCATGTCGTCGAGGCCGGACATGTAGTCTGGGGTTCCATCAAGCAATTCTCCCTGTGAGGGAACCACTCGTCAGCAAAAGCTGCTCCCACCACCAATCCTGCCCACCAGCCACCCCAGGGAAGTTACAATCATTCCTTGGTGGTCCCTCTTAGCTTAGGAATATGAATAATGAAACTACAGCTGGTGGAAAGTATGGAAATAATGAGGAGCCTTCTAGTTCTGTGCCTCAAACCAACTTTCTGTGTCTTTGAGCACTCTGCAGTAATGTGGTTTGCACAAACCAACAGCAGCACTAAATTTACCACATCAGCACTAAATATTTCCAAGAAAGTGTGATGGGAAGGCTCTTCGTGGCCATCAAAAGGTATTGTATTATTTTACAGAGGTAAATATAAGCAACAGCCAAGGGATCATTCCTTTCAAAATTCCAAAACTTGGGTGTATTCTGTATCTGTAGAAAGGTTTTAATTGAATTTTATATTTAGGTACAAATGTTATTATTATGCAATCCATTTAAATGTATGTCTCCCGACTAAAGGCCTCAAGCTATATTTTTATATTTAATTTTGTAATTTGAAATAGGGAATATTAATAACACTTTTTATCAATGTTCTATCTATGTTAAAACAGCCTTCAGCATTAAGCAATAATGAATGTGGATCAGTAAATTATTAAATTTTTTGATATTTATTTTGTCTCGATCCAAAGAGAGTGCAAACTTGCATGATAACATACATTTCCATTTACTATCACACAGTTCAGTTTTCTTAGACTAGGTTTGCACTAATTAATATTAGAGAAGATTAAATAGGCTTAAATACATTTACAAAGAGGGCAGATGTACTGTAAATTGGAATAGTGGAACAGCTGTTATGGAGGTGCAGTGCTATTTATGCTCCTATTGTGCAAAGAGGGATTACAGTCTGTAATGTAAAACCATACCTGATTTTCACATTTGAAACTATAAAACATTTACTAGTCAGTAAAATTACTAATGGACGGTAATAGGACATGGGGGAACAGGCGCAAATGTAAGAAAAAATTATTAATCTATAATCAGTTAATCTCATTTAACTAAACTCTGTACATTATAGCTGAATGCCCAGCAAAAGGCTATAAAAGTACAAGATTCTGTGGAGCTGCTCTTCACTGCAGGCATGCAAGAGACAAAATCATTTGCTACACCTATGTTGACTCTGGAGAAGAATTATGGGTTGTACCTGGGGACGAAGAAGTGCTGACCCAGATTATGTGTCCAGGGAAAGACTTTGTCTGTGATTAAGGGCCCTGGCTGTTACCTCTCCAAATAATATAATTTAATCTCTGGGGTTTTTTCAAAGCTGTTCCAGATGACTGGCAGGATTAGAGGACTAAGAGTCTGGGAAGACTAGTAGGTGGCCCAAAGGAAGGAGCTATGGGTCAATGTTTCTCATCCCCCAGACATTCATGAGAAGAGGACAACTTTCTCATCAATAGTGGGTGAACAATCCCCCAAAAATATAGGGAAGGAATCTCTTTCAATGGTTTACAGTGTCTATGAGGTTCTATGGACATCTGCTTAGAGGCATTCAACTTTGTGCCCGAGTGTGGAGGTGACTCCAAAGGGGTCTCCCACTGCTCCCTTTCTCTGTGATGAAATGTAGTTATGCCTTGGAGAGATAAATTTCCCTACAAAGTTTCCTTCTTTTTTTTCTCTAGGATACAACTTTTTATGGACATTATCAATATTATTATTATATTGCTATACAAATCTAATAAGAAAAGGCTGAACTCTTAACAGAACAAAGATCATTATGCCTGTTCAAAGTAAATGGTACTGCTCCTGAATCCAAGTAGAGGTACTCTTAAGTTAACTGCAGTTTATTTTCCTATTCCACCACGTCTTTCCAAGTTCAGACTTAAATAAACTCTGCTAATTTTGTTGGAAATGTTGATTATAGCTTTGGACTTTTTCTTCTCTAAGAGAACACATCGCAAAACGCTAAATTCTAGCCTTTCAAAGCGGAAAACAGTTGAAACCATTTACCTGAAATCCTTGTTTCCGCTGGTACTTTCTCCTTTGCTGCATATCGGCAAAAGTAGCTGCTCCAGTTGGGTAGGTATAGGCCATATGTGGTAGGAAGCTCATCTGATCTAGTCCTGGGTATGGTCGCAGCCCAGGAATACTGGTCTGGACTGGTGGCATAAAAGTGGCTGGGGGAAATGCGCTCTGTGGTGGAAGTGTTGTGTATAAAGGTTTGGCACTAAATGGGTTCATACCAAATACTGGGTTAGTGCTTTTATCCAGATTATTTGAATTAGAAAACTCCTTCTTGATAAAAGTCAAGTTCAGCGGCTCATCTGAGTTTTCAGATGATGAAGAAACACTGTTGTGTTCTAAACTTACACTATTAGCTTTTGTTTTGTTCTTTGTGGCTATAATACTTTTGGGTTCCTTCATTTGTTTTGGTAAAGACAAGTCCAATGGCTCAGCCTGAAGCTCCTCAGAAGAGAAACTGTTTGGAGTGTAAGAACTACTGTGGGAGTTTTTAGAAGATGTGGAAGAAAGATTTAAAGGAGAAGGAGTATTGCTCCTAGAGTGGTCCAATTTATCAACTGGCTTAATATTGGTAAAATGAGGAGGTTTTGTTAGCCTGAGAGGAGTATCACAATTAGTAACACTGTTATGGAGTTCAGCTATAGATGGTGAAGTTATAGAGTCCACAGGCTTTATTGGAGATCTGGCTGACAAAGAGTCTTTAGTGGGAGTGTTGTTGGTGGCAGCCAGCGCCACCTTGGCACTGGCCCTTTCCAGTGATGGTGACCTGGAACTTGAATACTGGTAGACTTTTCTTTGTTCAAACCATTCCTTCACAAATTCCTGAGGAAGGCCAACAGCAATGGAAATTTTCAGTAGTTCATCAGAGTTGGGCTCCATATTCATAGCATAATATGCTTTAAGTACAGACATGTGGTCCTTGTATGGGTTGATAGGGCTAGTCATTCCTTTCTCAGAAAGTACTGATGACAGCAAGAGGGCTTGCTTATCAAACACTCCAGGTTTGTTGGGAACCATGTTCTCATGAGGCTGAAGGACTGCCTTGATTTCTTCGTTCATTTTACACAGGTAACGCTCATGCTGATGCAACGGAATGGGACCAGGAAAGCTTTCTTTACAGAACTGGCATGAAAATGGAGTGGATACGTTGTGGTTCTCTATCATCTTGTCTTCAGTTACCAGGTCTATTAGGGTTCGCAGCTTCTCTTTTTTAATGTTATTGAGCTGCCTCCTCGAGTCTGTGGTCAAGCTCTGGAGGCAAGCTTTGGCTTCATTGACTTTCTCTAATGTATAGTCAATAATACTTTTAGTGGCACCATTATGACTTACTACTGGAAGACCCACGGGGGGAATATTGGGGGAGGTAACTCCTTGTTCCTCGGCTTGAGAGCATGAATCCTTCATGTGGTAAACCTTCAACTTGGAGATCTCTTCAGCCTTGCAGTCCATTTTCTGCCTGGAAACCGTGTTGTCCACAATCTGTAGGACCTTCTGCACCTCGCTTAAATTGCTGCCTACTGCAGGAAACCCGAGCAATGGTGCTTCCATCCCTACACCTAAGTGCTGCATTGGACTTTGAGCAGACGCGTGAACTCCTAAGGGGCTGGTTGCTCCAAGTCCACCATTCATAAAAGGACTAGTTGCACTAAACCCATGTGAGGCCATAAGAACCTTGTACTCATTGAAATCTAGTGGTTCTGTTTTAATTTTCAGTAGGCCTGTTTGCTCAGACATACTAAGTGGTTTGCCATTCTCCAGCTTGTTTCTCAGCTGTGTGATGGCTGAATTAGTAGGAGAGGAAGATACAGAATTAGGAGAAGAACCCGTCTTGATATTGTTTCTCATTCTGCCATTTACAGAGATCAAACCAATACACTTCTTGCTGCTGATGTGCGAACTGTAGGAGCCAGAATGGGAGAAACGCTTCTTGCAGTTTGGACACTCATATGGTTTTTCACCTAAAATGATAATTAAAACCAAATGTTAATTATCATTCTTTTTGCTATAATTGCAAGAGGTTGCATTTGGTATCTGACTGATCGCCTGTGTATCCAGTGATTAATAGTGAAGGAAATATTAATTCTCTGAACATGGCCACACACCACCACTGCTTTGCCCTCCTCTTTCTACAGGTTTTGAGGTCAGTTTGGACCCAGGGTCTCCAAGTGGCAAAAGCCATCAAAGTGTGAGATTGCCTCCAGACTGACCAGGGCAAATCAAAGGTAAGCACCCTGTAGAAAGACAGTCAAATGAAATTTAGATTCTTCAAATTTGATCTGTTTCTTTTTTATTTTTTTCTCCCCCAGAATGGAATTTTCACCGGATGTGAGGACCCATATGAGAAACTGAGTCCTGATGTTAGAACCTCCACGTAAGTTTGTGCCTGCACTGAGCCTGGTGACATTTTGTGTGCTGAATTCTGCATCAAGTAGGAGAGCCAAAATGCCCAAGTCATTCAATCTGAGAGGCTTGGCAGTTTCTTGTTATCTGAGAATATGAGTTGTATTTCACTCAGGGGGACTTTTTATTTTGGAAAAATATAATGGACTCTTCAGGCTCCTGCTGCACAGCGATGAATGAACGCTTCTGAACTCAAACTGCCAAACAATCTATATTATTTGCAGGAAGCTTCACTATTTCCAAATCTTTTAGCAAGACCGTGGTATTAACAGCATGATAAATGAGGATGACTCAGATATCACTTATGAAATACCTTGGTAGCTCCAAGAAGCCAGAAGCAGAACTGTGTAAATTTTAAGCAGTCTTTAAAACTCAGCTAATTAAACAAAATGCAAATGAGCACACCAGCACCTCCTCTACTCACCACTGTGAATTCGCAGGTGTTCCTTCAGATGGTGTTTATATTTGAAGGCCTTGCCACACTCAGTGCATTTGAACTTGCGATTGCCTGCTCCTTGGGTCAGCATTTGGTGCTGGGAGGAAAAGAAGAAAACAAAAGAGATACCAACATGAATTTTATGCAAGAGAAACCATGAATTTCAAGCTCAAAAAACAAAAATTAAATTAATGTGACTCTGAATTCGTCAAGCGGACCAAAAGGTCTGCATGTACATTTATTTGTCTCATCAGCGTTGCAATAAAAATCAAAATGTTGGCAGTAAACCGAAACAAATGAGAAAGTACTTTCACATGAGCATTCGATATTTGCTTTAGAATTATTTCCTAAGTCTCTCATCAGAAATGTCTTGCTTTAAGGTATCTCACGATGAGAGAAACAGTTTTATAAGAAGATTTGTGGCTCTTAATATTCCTAGCAGATTCTGAACATGTGGGACTCAGCTTGTTTAAAAATTCTGTTTACTGCATGTGGAGGAAAGAAACACTGTCGTTAGTGGCATTTCGTGTAAGATTTAATTCATTATCAAGCAGGAGAGACTGCATCTTCAGCATAAGCTGCTGCTGAAAATGTTTTTTAAAATCACAGAGCAGCAGGAAAGATTTGAGCTACCTTTCGTGCCATGTTTTTCCCTGATGCTCTTCTGAGGGGTGAGGGAAAGTTGAAAGTTAAAAGGGGTGTAAAGATATAATCAAAGGAAGCTGACCTTTTTGCAACAAGCAAGGAAAGCCCCATGACTTTGAATTTGGCGAGAAAAAAAAAATTAATTAAAAAATAATTATTATCTTGATAATCATGTAGCCACTCTGGATGCTCAAGGTAGGAGGTCAGCCTTTTGCAGGCAACCACGACACAAAAGCCTTTTGCAGGAGCAGGGAGGGGGAAAATGGGGGGAAAAAAAAGGAAGGAAAAAAAAAAAAAAGGCAGCGCCGAAACGGTATGACAACTGCGAGGGTGTGCTGCCTCTTCCCACATTCCTGGCGAGACAGATGGTGTTACATGGGACACAGGGAGGTTTGTTCAAACAGCAGCAACCTTCAAAGATCAAGCAGAGCCCAGCCCGCCGCGCGCCATTGAGGGACCCGCGCTCATATGTTGCTGAGTTGCATAAACAAACAGCAACAGCTGTTTTGTCTCCCCCCATCGCCCTCCGAGGACTACTATAAACTTTAGTTGTGCCACTGTTAATATGATACAATCATTTTAATTTACTAATTGTAAATGCCATGAGCAAATGAGGGGACTTTTCAACACCAAAGCTACCATTCATAATGCGCCAGTACCAGCACGCTCTTGCATGTGAAATTTCAGGCAGTTACGTTGGATAAATATCCAGGCGGGTTTTGTTCCCTCCCCTAGCGTTTTTAATGATACGAGGCAAAAGGAAGAACCTTACAGTGGATCAGGTTAGGAAAAATATACATGGGAAAATGTGTTTGTCTACTGGAGAAGCCATGGGAAGGAAAGAAAGGAGAAAGCGCTCTGGAGTCATTTATATTGATTTAAGATCAAGCAAAAGATACGGTTCTCTTAAAAATGCTAATTGCAAAAATCGTGTGATTAGGAAGATGTGTGTTTGCCTAACTGAATTTACCTTCTGCTGAGAGAAACCTACCAAGAGAAATCCAGCAGATTGTGATTTTCAGGTTTTTAAGAAAAATAAATACAGCATAAAGCCTTTATAATTTGACACAATGCACACATCTATTTATTCAACTTTTAACCACGCCATTTGAGTTTCCATTACAGCCCTGCTTAAGATGGGTTTTTAGGAGTAATTCTCCAGCTAGGAGCAGTTTTTCTGCTGGTGTGTAAAGAATTTTGTGGCACAGGTCTATCGCCAGCCCATCTAGGACCACTAGGGAAGCTCAGTCACCTGTTTGAGACACCAGCATTTCCTTAAATGTGGCACTGATATAATATTACATGTACCCCATCGAGGAAAAAACGGCTTTGATTTATTGCAGATACGCTGCCGGGCTATACAAATGAGAGCAATGCCCAATTCTAGTGGCACAATCACAAATGATAGCCTATATGTACTGTCGGAAGGGTTCTTCTCAAAATGTGTAATTATGTCTAACAAACGATTATACAAAATACGCATAATTTCATGTGATTGAAAAGGTTACTCAAAAAGTAATGAAAAAATGTTAGTGGATCTTTTAGTATGTCTTGGAGCTCCTATTTGCAACACTGCAAAGTAAAACTAGGTGAAAAATGGAATTAAAATTGCTGAGATGTTTAATAATGTATAATTAAAATGCTACACTTTCATTCACTTTTTGAGGAACATAAAAACGAAACTAAAGTCAAGTTAAAGTGCAAATAAAATTTCTAAATTAGAAATTAACACACTCATTCGATCGTGAACATAAGACTATTAAATCATATTAGAAGAGACCATCAAAAAATCATTTAGACCTCAATTAAAGCTATTACCATTAAAAGATCTGCATCTTCAAAATGCCATGAAAAATTAATAATGATTGCCAATCAAAGCAATATCGTTTCTCTAAGGGGTTATTACAGAAAGAAATCACTTAAAACCAGCCCCCCACCTGATCTGTCCCTGGCTTGTGTGTCACCATATGCCGCTCGAGCTGGGTGCGGTAGGCAAACGTGTAGTTACAGAGAGGGCACGAGAAGTTCTCCTCGTTCTTCTCGTGGCGGTACTTGATGTGCTCCTTGAGGGACGTCAGGCGCTTGTAGCCCCGGTCGCAGTAGGGGCAGGTCAGCAGTTGGGCGAAGGCATCTGGAGTTCCAGGTGGCAGGTCTGCACCCCGGCATGGGGAAGAGGGGGGGGGAAGAGAGAGGCAGGCCAAAAGGTCAGCAAATCAATGGCAGCTCATGGGCTGATTGCCCGGGATGGTATGAGAGGAATCGCCGCAATCTGCTGCCCGGGAGGGAGGGACGGCGCTTCCACCCGGCGGCGGGAGGCACCGGCACCCGCGCACGCCCACGGCAGACTCGCAGGGCCCGCGCTGGACCCCGCCGGGAAATTAATTATGGGCATCACTCCTCCCGCAGACCTGGCTGGCTTGAAAACTAAGAAATACTTTTCCTGATCAATTGGCAATTTGCATTCCAGCCCCAGCTCATTATGTTACTTATGCCATTGACCGAATCCTTCCTACTGACTCTTCTCCAATTATTTATCAAGGCATTGGAGAGCAATAGGCTGGCTACTCTGTCTTTTGTTGCATTAAAACTCTATTAAAACTTCCCAAACTCCCAAGTAGAGCAGCAGCCTTTCTCCTGTTTAAATTCAGCTCTTCAGTTCACCCACCAAATAATACAAATGTGCTGACTAAAAAATCACAATACACTGAAATTACAGCCCCAATCTTTGCTCATGAAATTCCATGCCGCTGCAGCTGTTCTTCAATTTTTAAGGTAAACACCCAGGCATGTAGTGCATTTATAATTGCAACAGCTGCACGAGGTCAGGATACTGGCTAAAAATGAATTACAGCCTCACCATTTTCTTCTTGCCCATTGGCCTCTGGAGTGCCAAGGCGAGACAGTTCCTCAGGGGCTTCAGGGTAAATAATGGCTGTGTCGCTGCGCTGCAGGTACTCTGCTATGCTGACTGCATGCCCATCTCCTTCCTCCAGTTTCCTTTTGGCAAAATATTCCTCAAAGTCCGACGTGCAATTTGCGTTCTTCACTAAAATAAGAGAGGGGGAAAAAGAAAGGATGGTTGAGTGCATCGTCCCAGAGAGCCTGGTCTGGTCAGCATTGTTAGAGGTTGAGCAGATGTACTGGAGCTACAAGGCTTGGGCTGCAGCTGGATCCTTGCTCCCACCAGCCTTGCTCCAGCTCCCAATAAAATTAATGTGGGCTTTCCACCAGTGTGGATGGAAGTAAGGGCAGGCAGTTAAATTAACAAGAACACGGGGGTCTACAGGGCAGCAGGAGACGTTTATGAGGCTTGGGTAATGCAGGTAATCTTTCATTGCTGGAACCTGAACAACCTTCACGGGGCTCCTGGGGGTCCCACAGCTTTTGGCATGAGCACAGCTCGACCTACAGGACTGAGCTCAGCTGCCCCTGGATCCCACAGACCCCGAGACAGTCCCCACGTGGGACATGACAAGGTAGTAAAAGACCAAACTTTTCTGAGACAGGTCTTTCCTCAGGATGCTCTTTGTCAGGCACAAAAAGAAAGTTGCTCACATCTTCCCGCTTTTTTTTTCCTCCCTGAAAATTAACTTATAATGAGAGAATGGGTTGTTTTAAAAACTTATCGTTTCATGATTTCTGCAATAGACCCACATGGTTTAGAACATTACAGGGTCACCAAGCCCAAAACCACTTTGACAGTCCATACAAGAGTTTTCTTTCTTTTCTTTAAATGTAACCTCAATTTTTTATTATCCATGCAATGTCCATGAAACATAATACATGCTCAGCCACAAAGCATCCTGTTACTAAAATTGTGCTTTTCTCCTCTAAGTATGAACACTGCTTACAGGAAAGACCTTAAAACTCTGGGATGTTATAGACAAATAATAATAGAATTAGACTAGAAAAGAAAAAAAAAGGAGATTACGATTTTCTTCCTCTAAATTGTGTTACTTTGTTTATTAACAAGTCTTGAGAGACACAGTTGGTGGCAGGGAACTAAAGATATTTGTTTTTAACTGACCATAAATGAAAAGAACAACTTATGATTGATTAAATTTTTAATGTATTTCTGCTGAGGTGAAATAAGAAAATGAGGAAACACCATGGACTATTCTGGAGTTCATGTAAAAGTAAAATACTAAACAGCACAATTCTGCTGTCAGTGATGCCAGGGAGCAACATGGAGTAAACACATGAAAATCAAGGGATTTATGGTTTTAACCACTGGAAATGAGAGACTAACCAGCTCCCTGATGTTTAGAAATGGGTGAAGGCTTTGCCTCAGTTTCCTATGAAAATGCAAGGCAGTGATTCTGGCAGTGAAAATGAGCCATGACCTCTGACTGGGGCACAAGTGGGAGCCTGCATTGCCTGATTTGAAGCTCTGATCTCGGCGTCATCGATAAAAGTAGATATCCGTCTCTGTAAACCTCATCCCTTTAGCCGATAAAATCAAATCCTCTGGCTGAGACAAATATGCCCTATTTTTCATACCAGCTGAGCAGCTTCTCAACTGTTCTGCAGTATTTTAGTGACAGTGACCAAATGGAACAGGGCATGGGACCCTGGTTTTGGAAGGAAACTTCTGTTCCTATCACAGTGGTTTTGTAGGGAATGGCTTCACCACCACAGAGTTCCTCTTGGTCCTACTGCAGCTCCAGTTACCCTTTGTTATTAGCATGAGAAAAAATTCTCCCCTTTCAACGCCAAAATAAAGCAGCTTTTAGAGAAGGGGAGTGTGAATGTGGAGAAGACAGAGTACTTTACCTCCATGTTGTTCTGGGAGAGAAATATAACAAAATGGTGGTTACTAAGTACACCTTATGCACAGAAGCATCACAGCAAGTGTAGGACTTCTTGTTTTAATCAGAAAAAAAAAGAGCTGAGGCTTTACTTTTTAGGCTGTAAATCTAACTTGTCATGCCCCTGTTATGCCTAGATCTTCCAGGTGTTACAAGATGGACCACCCTCTGGCTTAGCACTACCCAAGCTCCACTCCTTCTCTTCTCTTAGCAATAGATGCAAGGAAAACAAGTTTAATTTTGCCAAATCTAGGCCATGTGTCAATAAGTGAAGCAAGGAGAGGAAGTTTTTCTCCAGAGAGGAGAAATGGGATGACCCCATGGGATGGTCCCATGTGTCCCTTTTCTCCCCCTGGTAAACAAGGGGTACTTGGAGTTTGCAACTGCATTTTTTAGGATTAGGATTCAAGCTACCAATCAAGGCCTAGAGCTAATATTAGGAGTTTCCATCCCCAACTCAAACCAAAATGAGGTTCTTCCTTCATGCCCCCAAGTCTATCTGGAGGCTGATCCAACAGGCTGTGGAGGACTGCTGCGATATTACCAGCCTTGGTTTCCTAATTCTCAGGATTATTTAGCTTCTATGTCTGTACATGCAATCCAGGAGCTAAAGCAAATGTTTACGTCTACATTATAAACCCCTAAAAACAAGGGGATTTAGTGGAAAAGCTGATAGACCCTTCACTGAAACAATACAACCAGTGCTGCAAAGCTGCAGATTAACACAAATAGTCAAGGATGTTCATGTGGGTCTGGTTTCTCACCAGCAGCATTACTGACATTTCAGACATGGCTGGAAGCTCACATAGAGGTACTAAAAAGACCCATCTGACAACCATTAAGTTTGTCTCTCATCTTCTGGGTGGAAGACTTGCTTCCCCCCTCCATGCCCTGATTTATTTTCCATGTAGAAAGCCATGTTCCCAGACTCCTTGTGGGCTGACACTGCACACACACTGCACATCCCCTCCTGCGAGATCTATGGTGGGTGACCTCACCAAATAAGTCCTTTTTTAAATTAATTATTGGAGCCTGGAGAGCAGAAATATTTTCAGCTCCAAAAGCTGATGTGGCTGTGTCACATAAAAATAAAACACATTAAGGAAAGCTATCTTTGGAGGCATTTAGGACCTTTCAAGATAAAGTGGGAGAGAGGTCCAAGGAGCTTGGGAGACCAGTTATTTTGTGTGGGAACTCGTCCTGCGAGATGGTGATAGCTGCCCTTAATCGCAAACAAAGCTAATAAAACCACAGCCTTCATTAGCCAGGAAGTGAGAGGCCCCCATTGGTACACACAGATTACAGCCTGAAAACGGCCTGTCCTCCAACCTGCCAAGTTTTGGTTCTGTTTTCCTCCCCCTGAAAGTTTTTCTTTCCCTTCTTTAAATTATGTTAAGAGATCTTTATTTGAATTTTGTCAGATGTTGCTAATCAAAACCAGGAAAATTTATCTGTTTGTTTGCAGGGATTTTGTTAATCTGTTCTCTGCAAGCATCCCACTTGCAGTAACCATAAAAGGTAGAATAAAATAAACCATAAGAATTTCTTCATTCACCTTTTAAATAGCTCTTCTGCTAAACATCACATTTGCAAGTCCCTATTGCAGAAATCCTCAGAAATATTTACAAATTCATTTAGTATGACCAAAATCCTAAATCTTCACCCTAATGTCACTTCTGCTTTTACACTATGAAGCCTCCATGGCTCATTATAAAAATGTAGCTGATTAATGTAGGGATAACAAGATTTCTCTTAAAGTACTTCTAGGAAGTGGCTACTCTGACAACAGCAGAATAATTTAATAATGGAGACCTTTTCTTTTAGTTTTCTTTCTCCACTAATAATGTTTTGCAGAGAATTTGATGCTAAAAGTGTACCACAGATCTTGCATGCACCTACAGAAACTTTCTGGTTGGATGTACATTTTTATTGGGTTTAGTCTCAGCCTTTATTGAACATCAGTATTAGATCCCCTATAACCTGCAGGGAAAAACTGAGGCCCAACACTCAAGACAGGCCCAAAGCCTATAGTGAGGCTGAAGAAGAAAACTTTGAACACTTCCCAGACTATCCAGGAAGTATCTCCAACAGCTCAGGGACTGATTTCTTCCCTTTACTTGTCAAATAATGGTTGAGGCACCTCACTGGGCATGAAGGGGAGCTTTTACTCCTAATAAAGGAAATTACAGGTACTCATAGTCACCTGGAATCTCCCTCTCAAGGTGAAAAAATTGGCATAAGCATTTAATTTATAAGAGTATTTATTATGCCTCAGTAATCTGACATTGCTCTTAAGAGTCTATGGAGATTGCAGCAACTGAAGAAACATTATTACCCAACCTGACAAGGCATCAGCCTCCACTGAAAGAGGTCTGAACACCTCAAAAAGTGACAAAAGACTTGAATTTAACACTTTCAGAGCAACTTGTGGTGGTTATTTGAGCAAGCCTCCATCCTAGCGAGAGTAAAGAGGAGCTTAGGACTTGCACCGGACATTTGGGGAAGGAATTGATAGGAGCACCACACAGAGAAGCTCTTGCATTTTAAAAATGCAGACCACCTAAATGCAAAGCACTCCTTGGGCCGTGAGTTTGCAGGGCATCAAGCTGGGGAGGGGTAACCCTTATTTTTTTCCATGGAAAACTTGTTCCAATAGAGGCAGGACACCCCATGGACCCCACTGAGGGCTGGCAGAGGGGCTCGATGGCACCCCCAGAGAGATTTCGTGAGGCCAGTGATGAGCTGCAAGACAAGGACGTCAGATACTGGAAGGGAAGGGACTAAGAGGACACGAAGTCTTCCCCTTCAAGCAGACCACATTGCAGCATGAAAGAGTCAAGGCCTGTTATGGCAAGGAAACTATGTGCAAAGGAAATCACACGGACTGATAGGGGACCTCAAAGGCTCTGCTAATGGTAATTCAGATAACCATCAAACCTTGTTTCTGAATCAGATATCTTTTAAAATTCTGTTTCTCCAAGTGCTAAGCACAATTTGTCACTTTATTGCAGCCTCTTGGAAATAAAATAAGCTTTTGAGATACATATGTAGCCAATTCTGCACAGCAACATCATTAAGTACATACGTAATGATGAACTGTGCCTCGGTGCCACCCTCCTTTCATGCATAATAAATCTAATGGATGAAGAAAGCAGTGATACGGTTTTATTTTCCTATTATTTTCCCCCTCAAGAATGATAAAGTAAATTTCTCGTGTGCTTAATAAGAGCACTGGGGTTTTATGTGGGTGTTACCAACATCAGGAAAGTGTGAGTAATAAAATCCTTGTGAGATTTTGGTACCACCTTTTACAGTAATATTTGTGGAGAGTATTACCTATGAACTAAATTTCATAATGAAATGGATAGAAATGTACTTGCACTAGAAAACTCTTCCTTTTAGCTGTGCAAATCTATCTGCAACATCCCAAATTGTGACAAAATGCAGAAGAAACACTGGGTGATGTATGGCATTCAGCTGTGCTGAGGATAGAGTGGGGCCTTTGGAAAGAACATGGTAAATCCCTGAATTCATTTGGATTAGAAAATAGCAACAGGAACGTTTTGCTGTTTTGCTCTGCCACAAAAAAAGAGAGCTGGCTCAGAGGTGATGCCTGCTAAATATCTCTGTCACACTTCTTGTGCCACCAAATGTATTGATTTCTAAGAAGAGTGGAAAGAAAGAGATGCTAAAAGTGGGAAGAAAAAAAAAAAAAACCCAACAAACGATTAGCCAGAAACATTATAATCTCATAAATATGCATTTAAAGTGTGTGTGTGTCTATGGATCTATGTAAGGGGTTTATGTGTGTCTTGCTGAAAAGATGTTTTCAGTCCCTGAAGCAGCTCAAATCTGGGGCTGCCAAGGAGGGTGCACCCCATCCTCATCATCAAGCTCTTCACACAGTCCCTCTCATTAAAAGGCCACTGTATCTTGGCCCAGCTAATTTAAACTATCCAAGGTTCACCCTGCCTGGGAAAACATCTCCTCACACTGCTGAGAACTAAGATCTCCCAAGGATGCAGCTACAAGGAGCTGGGCCTAAAATGCTGTGGGACACAGGAGAGGTAGCAAGGACTTCACTGCGTGAATTGGTCGCTGCACTCTCATTATCAAGTTGGGGGGAATTAAAAACCAGCAGAATTGCATCAGTATTTTCCAATTTTTTTAACTGAAAACAAGAAATAGATTGTTTTGTCCCTCCCACTCCTCATGCACAGCAAGCTCTGCGTGAACCCAAAGAAAAGTGATGCTCACTCCATGCAAGGCCTTACCTGTACCATTGTTTCCAGTGGTCTGAATTGTGGCTTCAGGCCCCATAGTGTCATAATCTTCCTTCATTTCTTCTGTGGAACAAAGCATGCACACTTTTAGCACAGGCAGGGTGGAGGATGGCTCAGAAAGCTGGGGAGCACGCTGCGGTGCCGGGGAAGATCCCGCTCAGGGAAGGAGAGAAAAGGGCTCTTGTAGGCCCCTACACAATGGCTTTGTTCTGGGAAGTGAATGAGTTCAGCAGTGCTGCAGGGACGAGAACTTATTTACTTTAAACACGGCAGAGAGCGGTGGAAAACAGAACTATTTGTTCAGAGTAAACCAAGGGCTTTTCCCAATATCAAATCTAATAAGCAGTCGGGTGAGAAAAAGGGATTTTTTTTTTTCTTTTTGTTTCCTACTTATTAAAAGAAATAATCAGTTAACAGAGACTGTGAGATCTATACCTGGAAGAAAATGCAAATGCAGAAGGAAAATGTAACAACTTCTTGTATCTCCCTCTCTATCTATCTATCGCTGCACAGATCTGAGCTGTCACTGTCATTTTAACCTCGTTTGAGGCACAGCAAGTATTAATATTGAGTGGTACAGAAATGTGACAAATCTTCAACTGTAGGAAGTTCTCCTCTGCCACTACTACTTGTTTGCATCTTCTGTGCACTGACAAAGTCTGCCTTTATGGCCATAAATCGGGTTAATTCACATGCAAATGAGCATGGCCTGTGTAAAATTATTTATTATGTATTTTTATGGATTGGTTTACTTTTCATTAACCTGGGGGTTCAGAGTGAATAAAAATAGCTTTTAGAAGAGGCTCCATCACTGGAGAGAACAATTTTCCTGGATGTTTCAGCCTGCCTGGCACTGCCTGTCAAACTTGGTTTCTTGCTGCCAATTTGTTAGTTCATGTGCAACAGGTATTCACACATGCAGCCTGGATAGGATTTAACCTTC